GCGTTGATAGCGCGGGCAGGTTGGATGGGCTTGGGCATTGACAGTGTGCGTCCATTGAGTTTGAGACTTTCGAGCCATCCTTTTTGCCTTGGTGGCGGTGATTTGACTGGCTTCATAGATAGCCGCGCCAGTCTTTACCATTCTTCGCCAAAGCAGACCGCTTCTGCACGAGCTCCCCCCAGGTCGCAATGTTGATTTGGGGACGCTTCATGGAGTTCCTCAGAGTGCCCTTGAAGCGCCTCTTTCGCCCTCCTTTGCTGCGGGCACCCGAGCGACATCGTCGTAAAACAGTCATTTGGGTAGGCGTTGGTCGTTTACCCGTACCGGGTTGCCGCGCCAGCGCAGTTATGTCTGCCTGAGCATGGCCTGGATGTTGAGAATTCCCGTTCTCTCCAGGACTTCCGTATCCTGGATCCTGTCCTGCTATCTCGACCTGAGTATTCGACGGAGAAAGCTGACATGGAAATGCCTTAACCTCTGAGCTTGGTTGACATAGACAGTCCAAGTCTCCGCTCCGTACAAGAGTGTTGTGAGGACGAGGGCGTTGTACATCTTCCGTTTCGGGGATAGCTGGAGGCCGTGACGATTCCACACAGGGCTTGAAGCCAGCTGAAGGCTTGGCTGGCTTTGGAGATCCGGCGAGTAACCTCGTTGTAGATTCTGGTGTTGCGAGATAGCGTGCTGCCAAGGTAGGCGAAGTTCTCCACGTTTTTGAGCTCGGCGCCGTTGAAGTTGATACGTGGAGCATTGTAGTCATCCCCGGGCGTCGGTTGGTGCATGACCACCGTTGTATCCATGTTGATGGTGAGACCGAAGATTGTGCAACCCGCGGCAAGGAGTTCCATATTCCTTTGCATGTCCGCTTTTGTTGTGGTGTTGAGAACGCAGTTGTCCGCGAACAACAGATCATGAACTGTGGTCGTGGAGACGCGCGTGGGGGCCTGCATATCTTGGATGTTGGGAAGGTGCCTGTCCGTACTCTAGTTGATGCGGATCCCGGTACACTCATCATGGTAGGCATCCATCAGCATGGCAGAGAACATGAGACTGAAGAGGGTAGGCGCGTGGGCACAGCCCTGCTTCAATCAACCAGTCAATGCGAAGGTTTCGGAAACAGTCCCATCATTCCGCCGCAGAGATGACGTACCATGTGGATGAAGTGCTCCGGACAGCCGAACTTTTGCATGAGTTTCCATATTCCTTTTCGATTCACCGTGTCAAAAGCTTTCGTCAGGCCCACAAACGTAGTGCCGAGGTGGGTGCGCACCTTCTGCGGCTGTCTTGCGGCGAAGATCATGTCGATAGTGCCGCGATGACGACGAAAACCACCCTAGTTTTCTGACAAGAGTCCTTGTTCCAGGTGATTATTGAGACGGTTTAGGAGAACGCGAGCGACGAGTTTGCCAGCGATATTGAGCAGCGAGATTCCGCGATGATTGTCACAGAGTTACCTATGCCCCTTTGGCTTGTAGAGGTGGACAATTGTGGCGTCCTTGAAGTCCTGGTGGACTTGCCCTTGTCGCCACATCTCTTGGAAGAGCATGGTTAGGTGGGATATAAGCTGGTGGCCGCTGTATTTGTAAATCTCCGCAGGTATTGCATTAGATACGAGTGCTTTCCCACTGGAGAGTTGCTGCACAGTCTTGATGGTTTCCTGAAGAGTGGGTGTGAGGTCGAGGTCATCGTTGATTTCCACCTGAGGCAGACGGTCGATGGCGGCTTCGGAGATAGTGGAGGAACTCTTGAATACGCTTGGGAAGTACTCAACCCAGCGTTTCAGGCCCAATGTCTTCTCAGTGAGTAGGATAGTTTCATCAGTGCTAAAAAGAGGAGCTGTGCCTTTTAATATGGGAACATAGAAAGCCTTAATCGCAACGAAGAAGTTCTTCCATTCATTTCGGTCCGCGTAACCTTGGGTTTCATCGCCCTTGCGAGCCATCCAAGCATCCTAGATTTCCCTCAGCCGCGGTTCCACAAGACAGCGACTTTGGTAAAGGGCTCCTTTTGTGGCTGTCAACCTAGGCTTTATGCAAGCGGTTCTTCTTGGTGAGCGGATTGTTGATGACTGCATCATTTTCACTGGACCAGTACTGGTGTTGACGGCGTGCGCGGCCAAGGATACCGGGCGGTGGATTGAACAGTGTCTCGTAGTTGGCACCACCGGTTCTCCATGGAGGCGTTCTCCTCTGCAACTGGAAGATTGTCTAGCCGTTGAATCACCTCGTTGCTGAAATGCAAAGGGTAAGAAGGCAAATATAACAAATCAGTATTCAGCGTACCCGGGGGTCGCTTACCTTGAGGTTATCGCATGGGGTTAGGTGAGTTAAACCCTAGCAACTGCGATCTTCAGACCATGGTTACTTAGTAGAG